CTGCAGCAGCGAATGCATGGAGAAAGCAGAGAGAAGCGCTCTGCTGCTGCTGCTGCTGCTGCTGCTGCTGCTGTTGCTGCTGCTGCTGCTGCTGCTGTTGGCGAGAGCCAGGGGAGCATCTACTTGCATCTCAGTGTCGTATTTGTTTTGCTGCTGCTGCTGCTGCTGCTCGTGCTGCAGTTGCTGCTGCTGCTGCTGCTGCAGTTCAAGCTGCTGCAGCAGCAGCAGCAGCTCCTCCGTATCTACAACTAGATGGGGTGTATGCGCAGCAAAGCCAGCAGCAATAAGTAAATCAATAGGCAGCAGCAGGGGGCCCCCATACCCTATTTGCTTCTGCTGCTGCTGCAGCAGCAAGCAGCTGTCCATACACCCCAATAAACAAAAACCTAAAACCTCATTATAATTATATAATTTTGCTGCTGTTACGTCTCCTATTGCAACAGATATTATCACCTGCTGCAGCAGCAGCAGCAGCTGCTGCTGCTGCTGCTGCTCCTCCTCCTCATCCTCATCGTCGTCCTCTGCTGCCCCCCATGTACTGCTGCTGCTGCTGCTGCTGCTGCTGCTGCTGTGGTCTTCTGCTTCTGCTGCTGCTGCTGCTGCTAGCCGGTGTCTTATAACCCGCAGCAGCTGGCGGTGCAGCAGCAGCGATGCTGTTGTTTGCTGCCCCAGCAGCAGCAGAGAGAGCTGAGATGCAGCAGCAACTCCTGCTTGTTTTGTTCTTGCTGCTGCTGCTGCTGCTGCTGCTAGCTTTGCTGCTGCAGCATACTGACGCCCCAGCAGCACAGACACACGAGGCCCTTCATCCAGCAGCAAATCTATACAACACGTTCCACTCCTGCTGCAGCAGCTGTTGCTGCTGCTGCTGCTGCTGCTGCTGCTGCTGCTGCTGTTGCTGTTGCTGCTGCTGCTGCTGCAAATGGCTCTACCTGTCCCGCCTGCAGCCTCCGTAAAAGCACAGCAGCAAATACATCCCTCTATCTGCTGCTGCTGCTGCTGCTGTTGCTGCTGCTGCTGCTGCTGCTGCTGTTGCTGCTGCTGCAGCAGCAGCAGGTCGAGGGAAAAGATGCTGCAGCTGCTGCCGTGGCGCAGCAGCAGCCGCTGCAGCAGCGGCGGCGGCAGCGTATCAGCAAGGTTCTCTGTTAGCTTTTGGTGCTGCTGCTGCAGCTGCATGCATGCACACTTGCTGCTCCCTTCTCTCTCCTCCTGCTGCTCCTGCTGCTGCTGCTGCTGCTGCTGCTGCTGCTGCTGCTGCTGCTGCTGCTGCTGCTGCTGCTGCTGTGTTTGGGTGGTGGGGCCTATATATACAAGCATAACATCCGCCCCTAGTAGCTGCGGCAATGTAACCGGCTCAGGCAGAGTAATTCTCCTTCGCTGCTGCAGCTGCTGCTGCTGCTGCTGCTGCTGCTGCAGCTGCTGCTGCTGCTGCTGCTGCTGCTGCTGCTGCAGCAGCACTGGTGCTAGCCCTATGGCGCCGTCTTCTCTAACAGCAACACGAAACACCTTTCTGCTGCAGATGCTGAGAAACTGCTGCCCCTCAATTACTTCTATTTGTTCTCTCACTTCTACTCTTGCTGCTGCTGCTGCTGCTGCTGCTGCTGCTGCTGCTGCTGCTGCTGCTGCTGCTGCTGCTGGTGGTAGTTGATGAGGACCCAGGAAGCAAAGCTGCGAAGCACGCATAGCTGGCAGTTTATATAACTCGAAATATTGCTGCTGCGCTGGATCAGCTAGCAGCACCTCTTGCTGCTGC